CTCTCTCTCTCTCTCTCTCTCTCTCTCTCTCTCTCTCTCTCTCTCTCTCTCTCTCCCCGACATTCAACTACCCCTTCCACCCTTTTGTTTTTATCTTCCCTACCTCCTATCCTCTTATATATCTATCCCTTATCCTCCCTCTCTGTTCCTTTCCCATCTATCCTTTCTTCCTCTTCCGCTATTCCCTCCCTACCCCCCCCCCCAAGCTTAACAAGCCACAATGTAAAACAATTTTTTTTTTCACCCACAGGGAGGGGGGGGGGGGGTTATAAACCATGGACTCGTCAACCCGTCGAGGCTCTCGGGCTCGCCATAGCCCGTGCTACTTGGAACTTTTTGCTCCAGGTAGCGAATCTTAAACAACGACAACAACGTCGTGGCTGTAAATGTCAATTAAGATCCAGGTTAAAATACAAAATTAAAAATTGCTTGGGAATATTGTGAGGATCTTTGACAAGCCGCTGGCTACCTCTCCCTTTGGAAGCCGCTTGGTGAGCCATAAAGCAATATATATATATCCTCTCGGACGTAAGTTAGAAACCTCGTCACGGCCCTTGTGGATTTTATATATATATATATATATATATATATATATATATATATGTCGTACCTAGTAGCCAGAACTCACTTTTCAGCCTACAATGCAAGGCCCAATTTGCCTAATAAGCCAAGTTTTCATGAATTAATATATTTTCTCTAATTTTTTTCTTATGAAATGATAAAGCAACCCATTTCATTATGTAAGAGATCAATTTTTTTTTATTGGAGTTAAAATTAACGTAGATATATGACCGAACCTAACCAACCCTACCTAACCTAACCTAACCTATCTTCAGAGGTTAGGTTAGGTTAGGTAGCCGAAAAAGTTAGGTTAGGTTAGGTTAGGTAGGTTAGGTAGTCGAAAAGCAATTAATTCATGAAAACTTGGCTTATTAGGCAAATCGGGCCTTGCATAGTAGGCTCAGAAGTGAGTTCTGGCTACTAGGTACGACATATATATATATATATATATATATATATATATATATATATATATATATATATATATATATATATATATATATATATATATATATATATATATAATATGTTACTGTGAACACCGGAACAGTACACCTGGATTTACCTGAGGGGGTATCATCTCTCAAGTGGCCCGGACGGGAACAGGAAGCCGGCGGTTGGTCTAAGATCCCACGCTAATTTGTCTTAATTTCTACCCGAATGAATTTTAGACTAGCAATGTCGATCTTGGGGCCTGATGGCTGAGTGGGCAGCGTTCAGGGTTCGTAGTCTTTAGGGTTTGGGTTCGATCCCCGGTGGAGGCGGAAACAAATGAGCAGAGTTTCTTTTATCTTGATGTTCCTGTTCACCTAGCAGTAAATAGGTACCTGGGAGTTAGACAGCTGCTACGGGCTGCTTCCTGGGGGTGTATGTGCGTGTGTGTGTAAAAATTAGGATTAAGGGCTTATCCGAAACGCTATGGGTGCTGGTGGCTGTACAAGAATGTAAGAACTCTTTTTATATATAAATAAAAATAAAATCTTGGCTCATCGGCGGGTAGGCGGTTCCAGGGGGTTTATTACCCCTGTGGGTGAAAAGCGCCATCTGTTCTCTGACCTACATTGTGGTTACCATAGAATATTAACGATTATACGATAGCTGAAAATTCTTTACGATATTTCACCATTATTTTAAGTATATTAGTATATTTAGATAGTACGAACATCAAATAATGTTGTTACCCCTCTAACTCCCAGAAGAAAATGAGCTTAAAGCACGCTCAAAGAAAACTATTAAGGGGGAGGCTTAGTTATTTATATGTTCTCGGTAGAACAGTAAACTTTGTTCTTGAGACTCATAATCGGCGATCCCGGGTTGGATTTTCTAGATGAAATAGAGATAGAAGGGCACTTTTTCTTTCACTTGATGTCTCTGTTCACCTAGCAGTAAATAGGTACTCCAGAGTTAGACAACTATTCTAGGGTTACATCCTAGGGAAGGTCAGTAGTTTGACCTTGGTGGGCCTCGATACAAGCCTAAAGTACATACATATATATACACACAGACTTCCTGTTTGCAATAAAATCAATTAACACAACGAATTACATAATCTCAAGTATTTTAATTAGTCTCCCCATATAGGTTTTCTTTGAGTGCGCGTTGAATTCATTTTCTTCTAAAGAAGAACGGAAACTGCTTTAATATGAATTATTTGCAAATAATATATATAAGAATCGACCTCTTAGCTCTTGGACCCCGCCTTTCTAATAGGCGTGCTCTTCGACCCTGCCTGTGTGTGTGTAATTACCTAAGTGTAGTTACAGGATGAGAGCTACGCTCGTGGTGTCCCGTCTTCCCAGCACTCTTTGTCATATAACGCTTTGAAACTACTGTGTACTCACCTAGTTGTACTCACCCAGTTGTGCTTGCGGGGATTGAGCTCTGGCTCTTTGGTCCCGCCTCTCAACCGTCAATCAACAGGTGTACAGATTCCTGTGCCTATTGGGCTCTATCATATCTACAGTTGAAACTGTGTATGGAGTCAGCCTCCACCACATCACTGCCTAATGCATTCCATTTGTCAACCACTCTGACACTAAAAAAGTTCTTTCTAATATCTCTGTGGCTCATTTGGGCACTCAGTTTCCACCTGTGTCCCCTTGTGCGTGTTCCCCTTGTGTTAAATAGCCTGTCTTTATCTATCCTATCAATTCCCTTCAGAATCTTGAATGTGGTGATCATGTACCCCTAACTTCTCTCTTCCAGCGAAGTGAGGTTTAATTCCCGTAGTCTCTCCTCGTAGCTCATACCTCTCAGCTCGGGTACTAGTCTGGTGGCAAATCTTTGAACATTTTCCAGTTTAGTCTTATCCTTGACTAGATATGGACTCCATGCTGGGGCTGCATACTGCAGGATTGGCCTGACATATGTGGTATACAAATGTGTGGTCTGTGTGTGTGTGTGTGTGTGTGTGTGTGTGTGTGTGTGTGTGTGTGTGTGTGTGTGTGTAATTGTATTTACATAAGTATCCACCAGGAAAATGAAACTAAAGTTCCAAACGGTTTCATTATCAAAAGAAATACAGAAAGATTACAATTGATTGATGAAGATTAAGCCACCCCAAGAGATGGCACGGGCATGAATAACCCCTAAGTGATAGATTTTTTTGGAGTGAATGTAAACTTTGGTCGTGAAGAAGAATGCCATGTTGTTGTTGTTATAGATTCAGCTACTCGGAACAAGTTCCAAGTAGCACGGGCTATGGTGAGCCCATAAAGGATGACATTAGAGTTGGGGGTTATATATCCAACTACACCTGACTAGACATAGAACCACACGCTAAAACATGGATTAATGGCGGTGATGAGAAGGTGGGATGGATAAGTGGATTTTAACTGGGATATGAAATGGATATTAACAATGTATTCCTTCATTCATAAATTAGATACCTTTATAATTGAGTAAGATTTGTGATAAAAAATAATAATTTATTTTAAAAATAATAATTAGTGGTTTGTGATAAAAGGTATAAAAATAGTATATAAATGAACCATAATTATTAAATAATAATACTGCGGGTTCACTCCTTCACTATTCTTACCCAATTATAAAATTATCTAATTCATATAATCCTAAACTTACATTCATTTGATCTAATTCACTACTTGTTATAAATGAAGATTCAATATTATTTCTTTCAGTAACTACTTTGCAATCCACAATTTTTGCATGAATTAGCCTAGTCAATTGAATGTTTACATTCTCTTGAGTGAATAAGTAATTCATCCGACTCCATGATCTGTTCCTATTCTATATTTATGTTCTTATATTCTCTAAGTCAAGATGTTTACCTGTTTGGCCAACATAGAAGTTATTTACAATTATTATTATATTAACAAATTACAAATGTGATCCCTTTCATCAGGCTTATCTCCTCTGGTATCTTTTTTGTCTAGATATATCTAAAAAAAACTTATCTTTGGATTTATCTTTGTCCTATAATATGTACAAAGTACTGTGAAACGTAGGACAGTCCAATTATCCACGTTCCTATACATAATACCTATACATCCTATATTCCTATACATCCTATACTCCTATATATTACTATTCATCAATAGGTTGCTCGAGTTAGCACGTTTCATGGTTAGGTTAGGCTAGGTTAAGTTATGCTAGGTTAGGTTAGGCTAGGTTAGGTTAAGTTAGGCTAGGTTAGGTTAGGCTAGGTTAAGTTAGGTTAGGCTAGGTTAGGTTAAGTTAGGCTAGGTTAGGTTAGGTTAGGCTAGGTTAGGTTAAGTTAGGCTAGGTTAGGTTAGGCTAGGTTAGGTTAAGTTAGGTTAGGCTAGGTTAGGTTAAGTTAGGCTAGGTTAGGTTAGGCTAGGTTAGGTTAGGCTAGGTTAGGTTAAGTTAGGCTAGGTTAGGTTAGGCTAGGTTAGGTTAAGTTAGGTTAAGTTAGGTTAGTCTAGGTTAGGTTAAGTTATGCTAGGTTAGGTTAAGTTAGGTTAGTCTAGGTTAGGTTAAGTTAGGCTAGGTTAGGTTAGGCTAGGTTAGGTTAAGTTAGGTTAAGTTAGGTTAGTCTAGGTTAGGTTAAGTTAGGATAGGTAAGCAGTTTGTACGTTGTGGGCAGAACAACACGCAGTCAGTTGGGATTTCCGACTTTCATTACAATGATAATGGGATCCTGTAAAAAAAAGTATTATGTACACCAGCAAGTTACAATCATTAAATACTTACAAAATTGATTTACGTGGGTCAGAAGGTTAGGATGCAGGCCTATACGATACCTAGAATGCAATCTATAGGCCTTCTCAATAACTTAGGTACTATATAGACCTAGGTATTGTAACTAAGTTACAATTATAAGCCTACATAGTGCCTAGGCTACCTTGTAGACCTAGAAAATACCTAGACAACAATGTAGGCCTACACAATATATACAATATATATATATATATATATATATATATATATATATATATATATATATATATATATATATATATATATATATATATATAAATTCTGAAAGATCTGAAAGAATATAAATTCTTTCAGATCTGCCCAATGCAATCTAATATTTTTGTTCTTTTACTCTAAAAACTAATCCATATAGACATTACATATATCAATGAACACACATATGGAGGCCCGATACATGTATTTCCACACCAACGCCACACTCTTGCACATTTGCAGTCACTTTTGTCTTTAACCCTTACACTGCTACAATCGCGATTTCCTCGGATTCAAATGGCCGGGCCACGTGTGACTAATCCTCATTTCGTTTTCTCTCAATACTGTATTTCCATGCGCACCTAAATATTGTAGTTTTTATATATGGCTCATTTGTTTCAGCGTAAAAATATTGCTTCCTAGCCTTCCCGGTTTGGTGCCTTCTATTGATAATTACTTCAGCGTTGAAAAAGCTGTCACTTAAACAGATTCAATATATGGGAACATTGAGACATGACTTGGCAATCATTACTGATAATAAATAGGTTCTGAATCATTTCGTAGTGGTTTATCTTAGTGCCTCTTTGGTTCCTTTGCATTGACTTGGAGGAGAAGGAAGGAGTTGAGGGCCTCAGTGTTGGAGTTGAGTAGTTTCTTCTGGAGGAGTTGTGGAGGAGTTCAGAGCACCTTGGTGGAGTAGTGGTCGTCTGGGTGGAGGCGGTGAGGTACTGTCATTATTGGGGACCCCGGCTCACTATCCTCTTCTGTGTTCAACCAAGAAAAAATGAACCCAAGTTAATTTTTTCATCTTTACACACACACTCTCTCTCTCTCTCTCACCCGTAACCACCCCACCACTACCCACCACCCTCTAACTACCACCCCACCACCCACCACCCTCTAACTACCACCCCACCACCAACCACCACCCTCTAACAACCATCCAACCACCTACCAGCTTCTCGACGACTCTCGAAGCTAACGCCATAGCGGTGACTAAGGTCCCCGACTGACGGCTGAAAGTCCGTATGACTGGCCGCGTTGGGAGTCATCCTGGAGCACAGTGCCAGGGCCAGAATCATCACCAGGAAGAGGGCCAAGCCCGTGAGCACCCAGGCCAGCACCTGGCCCATCCCGGCACTTGTGGCATCACTGGTGCTCTGCTCTGTGGTAGCGGCGATGCTTGGGCTGCTGGATGAGTCGGTCGGCGTCACGCAATCCTGGCCTGAAAAGACCGTTACATTCAAAGTTAGAACCGTTGAAAGACCGTTAACATCAAAGTTAGAACCGTTAAAATAAGGTAAAACAGTTGAAAGACCGTTAAAATAAGGTTAGAACCATTGAAAGACCGTTAAAAATTAAGGTTAGAACCGTTGAAAGACCGTTAGCATCAAAGTTAGAACCGTTAAAAGATCGTTGAAATAAGGTAAAACCGTTGAAAGACAGTTAAAAATTAAGGTTAAAACCGTTGAAAGATCGTTAAAATCAAAGTTAGAACCGTTGAAAGACCGTTACAATCGATTGAAATACCTTTTAAAATAAAGTTAAAACCGTAGGAAGACCGTTAAAATTAAGTTAAAAACACTCGAAAGACCGTTAAAAGGAAGTTGAAACCGTTGACAATAAACTTATTACACCACTGGATGATCGTTCAAATCAAATTAAACCTATCGTATACGAAGATGTTTAGACAATGATGAACTTCTTTTAGATTTAACGAGGTCACCCCTTCCCCACGGGCCTGCTAGGCCAATGGCGGACCTCCAGGAGGAAATAACACAACATTCCACTAACTTCCATTTATCTTTTCAGAAGAAAATGTATATATGCTGGTTAGCATTGTAAATGTGTGGCCACGTCTGTGGTAGAAAAAGAAAAAACTTTTCCAAGCATTTAAAGCTTGGAAAAAAAGAGAGGTTTGAGCTGTATGGACACGCGCCATACAGCTTACGCCTCTTGTGCATACAGAAATCGTTTTGGCCTGCGAGGGATTCGAACCTGGGGCATTCTGGTTTGAACCGACTGCGTTAAACGAGTCTATGGAGAAGGAATCAAAATGAGCAACGTACTGCATCTTACCTCTCCCACTGTCTGGGTAGCACTGAAACGTCCAGAACACGGAAGTGACGTTGACTCTGTACGACACGTTCTTCACACGAACTGGCGCCACTGTTACGTTATCCTCCGCGCTGCCTGAGCCACGATCACTGTTCTGTGAGAGGGAGGAGGAGGGGGAATTTGTTCTTTGTCAGTTGTTATGTTATACACGAGGGGCGAAAATGTTCATGATGATTCGTTAAGAGGTTCTGAGAGGTTCAAGTTAGGTTTTGACAGGATTAGAAGAGGGTTCAGGATTACAATTTACCCCAAAAGGGGTTTAATTTTGGTAATAACAAAGTTCTGAAGCGTCTGAAAGAGAGACTGACCTGGTCTTCCCCTAGTAGCAGCAGCAGTTTAGACCACTGGCCCGTCGTTGCGTTGCTGAGGTCCACCTTCAGGGGGTCGCTCTCCCTCGAGTTGACGGGTATTAGGAACATAGTCGGCTGCTGACCACCTCCTCCTTCGGCATCCTGGGGGTTGACGTACATCACAGAGGACCTCTCTATCTTCAGCTCCGCACCCGGAGAAGTGGACCTTGTGTTTATGAGGCAACCTGGGGAGGTAGATGATATAGGTAGATCATATTCTACGTCCTGAGGAGGTAGAAGGTATTGGTAGATCATCTTCTACGTCCTGAGGAGGTAGAATATATTGGTAGATCATCTTCTACGTCCTGAGGAGGTAGATCATCTTCTACGTCCTGAGGAGGTAGAAGGTAATGGTAGATCATGTTCTACGTCCTGAGGAGGTAGATGATATAGGTAGATCATCTTCTACAAGCTGGTTGACACTTGAAACATCAATTTATCTAGTCCTCCTTAGAATGATGTCTCCTGCTATGGATCCCTTAATAGAGGCAAATTGAGTTGAAGATGTTATGTAGCAGGTACAAGAGAACCAGACTTACTTCTTAGTGCCTTGCTAAGAAGGGACTAAGAAGTATATGAGTCCGACTTGAGGTATTCGATGTGTTTTTTTTTCGTCCTGAATGCTGGATTACGCATCCACACACACACACTCACACTCACTTTGGCTCCACCCTAGAGAGCATCTATGTAGAGACTCACCTGACGCGCAATTGAAGACAACTTGGAGCGCCTCGTTGGATGAGACAAAGACCGTAGTGATGCTGACTGATAACTCAGCTGTCAGTATTCGTTGGCGGTTCTCAGGTCTGGTAGGGGGAAAATACAAGCATTTGTTTTTTTTTCCCTGTTTTACTTGATAACTCTGAATGTCAAATGAGATCCTTTGTTAGAGAGTGATTAATGTAAGATCTTCCATCTCGAGATATGAATCTATCATTAAATTAGTCACCAGTTCCAAGATGATTGATTTAATTTATAAGATTGGCATTTTTGTATGAGTTAGCTAATTGTGATATTTTTAATAGTCTATCCCCTATACACCTTGACATACAGGTAACCAGGTTACCAGGTATACACCCCAAAAGTGCCATAGAGGTATTGAAGTAAACTAGTGGAAACATACTCTACACATTTATTTAACAGAGTATCCAATAGGTGGCCATGTATACCACAACCCATCGACTGAAAGCCGAGTGCTGGGGCGCAGGAGCTAAAGTCCAATACCCCCGCAAGCACAGACGTGGCCCTTAACTCCCACCTGTAAGCTGCCACCCACACACAGGGAGCCGAGCGGACAGCACACTGGACTTGTGATCCTGTGGTCCCGGGTTCGATCCCGGGCGCCGGCGAGACACAATGGGCAAAGTTTATTTCACCCTTTGCCCCCTGTTACCTATCAGTAAAATAGGTACCTGGGTGTTAGTCAGCTGTCACGGGCTGCTTCCCGGGGGTGGAGGCCTGGTCGAGGACCGGGCCGCGGGGACACTAAAAAGCCCCGAAATCATCTCAAGATAACCTCAAGATAACCACCTGTAAGCTGCCACTCACCTGTAGACGAGCAGCTGGTGCTGGTGGAGAGCCAGGACGAGGGTGAACCACGTGTTGTTATGTGGGTTAGTGGCCGCCAGGGACAGATTACCACCCACCTGAGTCTCGTTGATCCGCAACAACGCCACGCTATCGTTATTGATAAACACATTTGCGGTCCTGTGAATATATGAAAGTCCTGTGAGCGTCTGGTGAATGCGAGAGTACTGTGAAAGTCATTTATATCATTCTTATTTTCAATTACGCGAAGTTTAACCCTTAGGTTAAGTTGCAGAAATGTTTTACATCTTAAAACATGAAAAACGTGAAATTCTGGAATTGTTGAGTATCCCATAGAATTTACAGAAAAAAACTGACAAATTTGACATTAAAGAAAACCTTGGCCTTACGAATTTACCAGATACTATCCTAATTTAAAACTTCAGTGAATATACTAAACTATAATAAAACACAATAATAATTTGAGAATAATCTCTGTTTAGGACAAAAGATTTACTTGCCACTTGAGCAATAGGATATTATTAGCACTTGAATGCCTTCGGAGCACCACAAATATCTAGATAAGTATACATAGTAGTCTAATCAAGAAAACAGTGAGTCCTGTAGTACTTCTCCGGACTGTGATGCTATAGCCGCTACTGTTAACAGTAATTACGTAGCAACAGTAACAGTAGCAACAGTAATTGCACGAGTCTAGTGCCGCCTGCTGGTGACCAGTTTCCCCAAACAACTTACTCAGAGCTATTGCCGGCGAGCTCCAGTTGAATAATTAATTGCCTGGGGGTCACAGCCCCCGCCTCCGGCATCACGGACACTTCCACGCGGCCACGGAAGGCCACGGAGGGCGTCCTGTGTCGTGTCTCGTTCCTCCGTAGCTGGTAGACGTGACAGTCTGCGCGGTGGAGAGGAAACAAGGTGGTTAGACCTAGCGGAGACAGGTATAGATGTGGCGGTTAAAGAGGAGGTAAGGACGGTAATGAGGAGAGAGGGATTTGGCGAAGGAGAACCGAAATAGACAGAGAGAGAGACAGAGAGAGAGAGTGATAGACAGACAAATGGAGAAGGATACGAACCATCTCGTGCCGGTTCGGGGTCGCCATGAACCAGTTGCAAGCACAGGAAGGCCAGACCGAAGGGCCAAGGATGCATGTTGCTACTGCTGCTGCTGCTTAAGCGACCTTACGAAGCATCCTCCCCTGCGTCACTCCCTGCGTCACTCCCTGCGTCACTCCCTGTGTGACTTGTGCGTCCCTACTGCTGTATTTTCCATTGTATTACGCCTTTTCTGTTGAATAAACATCCTGTTTTAGCTCGTTGTCGTCACGTTGAAGTCACTGTCTTCACCGGTACTGTGGAGCCTCGGCACTGCTCTTGATCTCGCTTCACCTGCGTCCGCCATCTGGAAATGTTAATTAATTTGGGTTACCATAGTTACCATACCCCATAGTGGTGGTTGGGGTGGTGGTTGTGGTAGTAGTAGTGGTGGTGATGGACGTAGTAATAATGGTGGTGTAAGGGGTGTTGAACAAACGTGTTATGCACATTGAATATATGTTGAACTGTCCGGCCGAAACGTTTTGGTCATTCTGATGATCTTAGCAAGCTACAAGATGGGGAACCAGTCAGCATGAAGCTGATCCACGGTAATTGCCCAATAGAACAATAATAGGGCTGTTAGCTAGGATCAAATGAGTAGATGTGATAAGGCAAACCTGAGAGAGAGAAAGAGAGAGAGAGAGAGAGAGAGAGAGAGAGAGAGAGAGAGAGAGAGAGAGAGAGAGAGAGAGAGAGAGAGAAGTGTGGTGCAACCCGTTCTCACAAATTTAATAAGTCAATATTGACTTATTAAATATGTGCATAGGTGACATATTTAACATAATAGTTTCCCTTGAAAAGCTTCATAGAAAACACCGACCTACTTAGAAAACATACTAACCTACTTAGTATGTTAAGATAAGCATCTTATTGCTTCGTAATTACAATTATTACCTAACCTACAGCCTGTAGTAGTCTAAATAACCAAAAGTCTAGTCTCTCTTGCTGTAGATACATGTTCACAAAAATGTCACAAGTTACTGAACAAAGACAGTACTGTAACATAACATGTCTGTAACACAATGAGACGGTAACTCTCTGTACCAAACACACCACTGTAACAATGTCCTTTCCTAGTTCACTTTACTGAATGTGAACACACTTTACTGAACTGTGAATGTGAACTTTACTCCCCCAGTGAACATTTTCTTATGAGGCTTCCACAACTTCATGTATATGTGTATATGTATATATGCTGGTTAGCATTGTAAATGTATGACCACGTCTGTGGTAGAAAATAATAATAATAAAATTCTGATAATGGTGTTCAGATCAGTGTGTATTAAGTTATCGAATATTACTGAACAAATTGTTCTCCTTTTGTGGTTCACCTGAGTTCATTAGAAGAGGAAACGGCTTTGGGTGGCTTGTTCAAGATATGTTCAGTGTTCAACAAGCTGTTCACTGTTCAAGCCTCGTTATAATGATGGATGTTATACACGCGTTATTTCCCGTTTCCACATTGCTGGAAAATTCACTATCAGCTGTCAAGCTTGACATCCTGTAGGCAACGGTGTCGCTCCTGTTGGCACCGGTGCCGCCCCTGTTGGACAAGGTGCCGCTCCTGTTGGCACCGGTGCCACTGGCATCCTACACACACTTGACAGAAGGGCATGACCTTCAACGCCTTCCTTGAGCACCGTTAACGGCAGTATGTACTGTTAAAGGACGCTTCTGTTGCTAATCAATGGCTAACAGAGACAAGCCAGTACAACAGGAGGCAACAGAGACAAACCCAGCACAACAACAGACAACAGGGACAAACCCAGCACAACAACAGACAACAGAGACAAGCGCAGGACAACAGGAGACAACAGGGACGAGCCCAGCACAACAGGAGGCATTAAAGTGATGAATCACTTGGGAGAAGTTCCTGGAAACAGTTTTGAAACCAAGAAATGGAGGCGCCAGGTGGACTATATTGCCTCGCTAAGCTCAGAGTGAGGGAGGGATGGAGGGAGAGAGAGGGAGAGGGAGAGAGGGAGGGAGGGAGAGGCAGGAGATGGGGGCGGGGCGGGGAGGGGGGGGGGGAGTATGGGCGTGGGAGAGAAATTGGGACAGAGAGAAAGCAGGAAAGAAACGGGAGATGTAGTGAAAATACTGAGTATCTTGCATGTTTTGGGGGGTACTACGTTATTCCATGTGTTTTCTACTAATAAACCTTCGTTAATCAGCTAAAACGTGTCATGTGTCGTTGATAGATATCATGCGCATCCGGGGAATAGATCGTTGTTATTTTTGGGGGGTTTGATAGCCTGTGATATCATTCGTATCTGGGGGATAGATCGTTATTTTTTGGGGGTTGATAGCCTGTGGTTAATAGGCTATACTTAACCATACCTCAAAAACTATGCAATTTCTCTTAATTGTACAGTCAACAATGGATTTAAAATCGTGAATTATACCCAGAAAATGTCTTAGAATTAAAAATTTCGTCGAGGGATATACGATAATTTTCAATGTGGAAATTTTAAACAGTAAAGAAAGGCTTTGGATAATCAAATCCAATAGATTTTCAACGTCCCGAATCTATAATTTTGTTAAATTTTGACCCTGAAGAGGAGGCTGTAGTGTCGCATCTTAGTCTAAATGCATTTACACTGTAGAAGGATTTTGAGCAATTAATAAATTAATTAATTAATTTGTTATCATTTTGAATTAAGGTTAAAGGAGAATGTTCACTTGTAATTAAAGAGGCTATCTTGACACTGTTTCATTTTACTACTACTTATTTCCTACTTATTTACTGCTTCCTTATTTCCTGTTTTCCTTATTTTCTTGAGCTACGAGTTTCCGCATTAATTCAATTAAAAACGGAAAGAAAGTCAACAATGCACCAAAAGTAGCTACAAGTGTAAGTCGAAGTAAAAAAAGTTTGAAAAACGCTGCCATAGAGAATGTTGGTTAAGTGATTAGGGGAGAATTGGGTTACATTAAGGTTCGTTAAACTCTTATGTTGACGGTTGTCTCTTTGGGATCGATTGTTAAGCAGTGAAGGTTAGGTTAGGTTGGCTTGAATGCGTTTAATGTTTGTCTACGGCGTTAATAAAGGAAGCAAGGCTTACATATCACGCACCTGTGTTTACCTGTACCCATGTCTGCTTACGTGTACCCATGTCTGCTTACGTGTACCCATGTCTGCTCCCCTGTACCCATGTCTGCTTCCCTGTACCCATGTCTGCTCCCCTGTACCCATGTCTGCTTCCCTGTACCCATGTCTGCTTCCCTGTACCCATGTCTGCTTCCCTGTACCCATGTCTGCTTCCCTGTACCCATGTCTGCTTCCCTGTACCCATGTCTGCTCCCCTGTACCCATGTCTGCTTCCCTGTACCCATGTCTGCTCCCCTGTACCCATGTCTGCTTCCCTGTACCCATGTCTGCTCCCCTGTACCCATGTCTGCTTCCCTGTACCCATGTCTGCTCCCCTGTACCCATATATACCCACCCACTTGGGCCTATTCTGTACCCACGAAGCCCTGTACCTTCTTAAACCCTAACGAACATGATCAGAACACGGCAGTGATCATGTTGCAGATATGCAGACAAGTGCAAGACACAGGTGTCTGCACACGTGGCAACATAAGTGGCAATCACGCAACTGTAAGGAACAGCTGGCAACTTAACCAGCTGATAGATGTCAACACGTGACGCTCGTTTTCTTTCGTGTAACATTCTCGCTCTCCGTTCCCATTTTCTCTTATTTCCTCGTCTCTTTTTGCTTTTGCCTCTCGTGGCTTTTCTTATTCAGTTTGATGTGTACACAGGAGAGGAGTTGCACAGAATTTGGGACTATCACGTGTAATAATAGCCATTGCATGCAGGGGATCTCTTGGACAGAACCAAATTCTTCTTATTGGTTCAGTATCCCCTGTCATCCCGCCCTTCCCACCCACGCCATTTAAGCTGCAGGCTTAACACGCCTAATTGGACTTCCCTGAAGGTCATAGCAGGCTCGCCAGTATTGCGCGGGCTTTCCGCGAGCAGCCCAGGGCTTGTGGCCCGTCTCAGGGCGCAGCTGAGGGCTTGTGGACCGTCTTAGGGCCCAGCTCAGGGCTTGTGGGCCCTTCACTGAGCAGCTCAGGGGCCTGATTGGCAGCCTTAAAACTAGGTATACACGTGCAGCATGAATACACATGAAGCATAAATTCATGTGCACAACAGGTGTACACGTACACAACAGGTGTACACGTACACAACAGGTGTACACGTACACAACAGGTGTACACGTGCACAGCATATACGTGCACAGCGGGCAGATCCAGTCGTCATTCCGAAGTGTTTATATCAGGCAATTAAGGCTTGTTGAAGCTGTTAAGCTGCTTGTACCAGGGCACGTGTGTATGTGTGTGTGTGTGTGTGTGTGTGTGTGTGTGTGTGTGTGTGTGTGTGTGTGTGTGTGTGTGTGTGTGTGTGTGTGTGCGTGTGTGTACTCACCTAGTTGTGCTTGTAGGATCGAGCATTGACTCTTGGATCCCGCCTCTGTCCCGCCAAACACACACCGAAACTACGACGTTGGTACAACGTTCGAACAAGTTTTAACACCTCCTAACCAGTTATAACAACCAATATAGCAAGTTATAACAACGTTCTAATACGTCATAAACACGTTAAGCCAAGATGTAAGAACTTTATTACAAATTGTAACTAGCGGAAAATAGAGACAGTTTCGGTTTGTGTTTCCAGGGGTGTGTGTGTGTGTGTGTGTGTGTGTGTGTGTGTGTGTGTGTGTGTGTGTGTGTGTGTGTGTGTGTGTGTGTGTGTGTGTGTGCTCACCTAGTTGTGCTTGTAGGGTTGAGCATCTGCTCTTAAGCCCCGCCTTTCGACCATCTTTGGTTCAATGCAGCGACCTATTTTCACTTTATTTTTCTTATTATATTTACATTTAAAACTTTGTATTGTATTGGCTTGTTCAGCTTCCTCATTCCGTCCGTTCCACTTATTTACGTTATGTTATTCCACCATTTTCTCTTCTTGCTACGTCCCAAATACGTCTGTTTTAAATCTCATAAAAATCGGGATAATCGCGACTAAATTACACCTATAAACGCTAAGAGGCGGACCCCAAGAACTAAGTTCAACAAGTAGTGAACACGTTCTGAGAGATCTTGCTCTGGGGGCCTTAAGCTTTTGTGGTTCAAGTTCGTTTATTGAGACCGTAAAGTACATCTCAAAATGATAAGAGGCTTTTGTGGTGATCTAAGAGGCTGTCGCTACTAGCGAGCCGCAGGACGTATCCTCGATCACCAGGTTGATTCGGCCATTTATTTTAAAGGAACTTGTGTGAGTTGAGTTATAAATCAGAGTTGATCTGATGTCTGTCAGTCATCCGACTGGCAGTTGTGGTGGGCACTCAGGATGTGATGATTGGTACTGATGGCTGTGTTGTTGATGCTTCTCTCTGGTCACGAGAGAGAAAGAGAGAGAGAGAGAGAGACAGACATCACAGAACTATTGATCAGGATCAGTTCTAGCTACTGAACTATGTACGTCTTGTAATCGTGGGTTCTTCTCAACTCATTCCTCTAGATTGATTGATTGATGAAGATTAAGCCACCCAAAAGGTGGCACGGGCATGAATAGCCCGTAAGTGGTGGCCCTTTTGAGCCATTACCAGTATCAAGAGCTGATACTGGAGATCTGTGGAGGTGCGACTGCACCCTGCGTGACGGGAGATGTCTCCCGTGATTCCTTTAGGACCAGAGTCGACTTTTGTACCCGTTAGACCCATGTCAGTGTGTGTGTGTGATTATCACGGCTCTTTAACTATCATGAAGGTTAGGTTAGGTCGTGCGTAATCGCGGGTCCCACATAACCCGTTCATATCCAGTTTTGAGGGGTTCAGGTACTTAGAAGAGAAGGGTATAGTTGGTTAGGTTATATTTGCTTTATATCAGGGGTGTTGGGCCTAGCTGTAGTCTGCTCCATTTAAGCTTTATTTGATTTCCTAGGTTGTTGTTATAGATTCAGCTACTCGGAACAAGTTCCAAGTAGCACGGGCTATGGTGAGCCCGTAGTGGACTTACCTGGCACAGGAGCGGGGCAAGTAGCACGGGCTATGGTGAGCCCGTAGTGGACTTACCTGGCACAGGAGCGGGGCAAGTAGCACGGGCTATGGTGAGCCCGTAGTGGACTTACCTGGCACAGGAGCGGGGCAAGTAGCACGGGCTATGGTGAGCCCGTAGTGGACTTACCTGGCACAGGAGCGGTGCTGAGTGAATGGACTGATTTCCTAGGTGGTTCAGGGTGTTTTCTGTCCATAATTAGTGCTAATGAGCGCTTTGCTTCTCTCATTAGGCTAATGAGTTTGGAGCGAGTATATTAGTGGGATTATCTACTCGCTACATTTACGGGCTATTCATGCCCGTGCCACCTCTTGGGTGACTTAATCTTTATCAATCTCGCTACATCTGCAACCGCTTTACGGGCTCGCCATAGCCCGTGCTACATGGACACTTCGTTCTCAGTAGCTAAATCTGAAAGAAACAATGGGCAGTTTCTTTCACCCTATGCCACTGTTACCTAGCAGTAAAATAGGTACCTGGGTGTTAGTCAGCTGTCACGGGCTGCTTCCTGCGGGTGGAGGCCTGGTCGAGGACCGGGCCGCGGGGACACTAAAGCCCCGAAATCATCTCAAGATAACCGAGAATAGCTGTTAAAAGGAGCCAAGCTAGACTATGTAGCACCTGGTGTCACTTGTCCCTGTGTTGGAGCAGACTGTTTGAGCTAGTGGGGGGTTATCAAGCTTGCGAAACCTTTACATCTTTTCTCGATCATGGCGGCTTTGAGATTTATTCAACAATTTTTACGAGTGCGGAAGTGCTGTGAGGTTGTTTCTAACAATAGTAACCTCGTGGTGGTGGTGTACTTTACAAGCTCGTAAACCTGTTGAATTACACGTAAACTTTAAACTGTTGGTTTACGAAGCTGTTTGTCATTGAGAAAGGAAAGGGGCCATGTAGCCATCACAGGCAGGTTGATCCGCGGTAGTTTAACCTTTTCCATCCCCCCCCCCCTTGTCCCATCCTCCCCACCCCCACACCCCCACACTCCCCCCCCCACACCCCCCCCTCTCTCTATACCCCCAGACACGTTCGCTGTTCCGGGGATTCTTGTACCAGACTTCCTCTATTATTTCACTCTGGGTCTTTATTAACTAATTGGCCAGTCAAGGCCATTAGAGGCTGCCTGTAGTTAGGCCACCTACTGTGTGTAACACCTCAACCACCACCACCACCACCAGATAAGTACTGTTAGGTAAGGGCCACCACCACCTCAACCACCACACATGAGTATTAATCAGCTTAATTAACCACAAAAGTGACTAGAATACCAGAATCAAGAACAGCAGTAATACATTAAATACAGTAGTTATCTTTACGGGACGATAACTACCACACACAATACTTACTACAGAAGATAACGACTATGAACCATAACTACCACACACTATATCTACCACACATCCTAACTACTACACATAACTACCACACACATGTTCAGAGGTATGCCACCAGACTAGTCCCCGAGCTGAGGGGTATGAGCTACGAGGAGAGACTTCGGGAATTGAACCTCACGACACTGGAAGGCAGAAGAATTAGAATTAGGGGATGACACGATAACCACCTTGGCTACCACTCAACCATAACTACCACTCAAGTACAACCACCAAAGCACACACAGCCGTAGAACAAGCAACGCCTCCTTACATCCGTTAAAAAACACCACAGCTTTCCGGAGTCCCAACTGCCGCTCTGAGCAGTTGACCGCTATATACTCACCAAATTCTGTTCGGTCCTGTCCCGTTCGTGGAGCTAATCCGCTCAAATACGTCTTCCTTAAAGAGCGGAAGCAATCCGTTCGTCTTAGCGTTTGTGTTTTGTTTCACGCTTCAGGCAACCGCGCGAGAGGTCGGTTAGCCAGAGAGTCCCTGACACTGGGGTATGACAAGAGCGCAACCCGCCTGCTCCCAGCTGCAGCGGGGTGCCAACTGGTGCCAGAGTCTGGCGGTGTGGCACTCACGCTGGCGTTCGGGAAAGCCGTGACGTCAGAGATGACGTCACAGATGTAAACAAAAGCCACTAGGGGTAACTGATAAATTTCTTGTATGTTTCTCACCTTTCTGGACAGTTGCGAGAGAGTTGATTTTTGTTTTTTTACAGATAACTATATTATATAGTGATGTTGTTTGACTTGCACGAGAATCACACAAGACCTGGGTAAATACTGGTTGGGGGGGGGGACTGGGTGGTTGATTTATGGAACATAAATTGCCGGGTAACATAATAGACGTTACTGGATTGTTTCAAGCGTAGGTTAGATATGTAAGAATGAGTTTGGGTGGATATAGATAGGAGCTGCCTTGTTTGTTCTTATGTTCTTATGTTATATTATGTTGCCTTTTAGAATGAACCTGTCTGGAAATCTGGAGCGTTGGAGGAGCATTCTCAACTTTTGAAGGTAAGTTTGGAGCGTTGAGGAGCATTCTTAACCTTGGAAGGTGAGTTATTCGTATTTTCAATCACTTAAAAATGTTCTCCAGTGTCGTATTATTTTCATATACAAATATAACGCCATTTTCGAAGTTTGAATTTGGCGCGTTTTTCGTGTTTTGGGGAATGGTCGCAGTGGCGCTGCTAAACACGTCACGAGAATGGAGGCTCATCTTGGGCAAGGGGCCGTACGAGGTTGACGGAACACTGAATCGACGTTAATCACATTGATCCTACGTTGATTTAACGTTACTCGAGCATATTTGAGTTCGTTAACAAAAACGAATTGGTAAACACGTAACTATTGATAGGAAAATGGCAAGCTTTAATGTAACAAGAGGGTTGCAAGCTTCAACAGGGCGCCCTGGCATATTTGTTGCAAATGAATAGAATTTAAAACGAATCGTCGGCATATATCTTATAGAATAATACAATATACATATATATATATATATATATATATATATATATACATAATGAAAAGATGCATACGCACACTAGATTTTCCTCCATAATACCGCAACTCAATCATACCCTTAAGAACGTTCCCTGAATCTGGATGACGTCAGATCGCGCTCTCTTTTTGTTTTCCTTAGAGTCAAAAGGATGTAAACAATGATCGCCATCTTTTCCTTAGAATCAAAAGGATATAAGGAAGGGCAGAACAGTTTCAAATGTAATTGTATGTTTACATAGGAAGTAAAAAGTGATATTGAACACGGAGGGAGGTAGTAAGATCTTGAGCTCGGTGATTAGCTCAATCATCGCAGATTGGTGATTAGCGTAGCCGAGTGATTAGCGCAGCTGGGGGAAGGGGAACTATGAGTAGAAAGCGCTAAGCCATTGCGACTATATGAGCACTAGGAAGGGGTCAGGATAAGGCTTTGGGATGGGACGGGGAGGGGGAAGGAATGGTGCCCAACCACTTGTGGACGGTCGGGGATTGAACGCCGACCTGCATGAAGCAAGACCCATTATTGAACCAAGCATCTCGCAGCTGTCAGTGTGATAATAAAGCTTAGAATATCGCCATTGTGCAATCAGTTTCAAACTTTTGTGAAGTCAGATTCGAACCTGTGTAAAGTGAGATTCGATCCCCCCAAAGCAGCCGGCGCTCTGTACGCCAAGAGGTGCGTAAGCTAGCTAACCCAGGTTCGTATCTCGCTTGAGCGGAAACCGTAGAGATGGGGGGTGGTCGCTGGAATGATACGAGGGCGGGGGGGGGGGGAGACAGAAATAGAGAGAAAGGTACTCACACACACACACACACACACACACACACACACACACACACACACACACACACACACACACACACACACACACACACACACACACACACACACAGCCGTCAAGTGATGTGGTGGAGGCTGACTCCATACACAGTTTCAAATGTAGATATGATGGAGCTCGACAAGCTCAGGAACCTGTACACCAGTTGATTGACGGTTGAGAGGCGGGACCAAAGAGCCAAAGCTCAACCCCCGCCAGCACAACTAGGTGAGTATACACACACAGATAAAAGCAAACAGGAGATAACTACACTATATACAGATGACAGACAGAGGTGAAAATAATTAAACGAAAGTTGTTGCGTTAACGGAAACGTTGACTAGTCAAGGTCAGTGAAGAGTAGATTACTGAGCTCCTGCCATTCACCACTCTACCACTGTTCTACCACTCTACCACACTGTTCTACCACTCTACCACACTGTTCTACCACTCTACCACTGTTCTACCACTCTACCACTGTTCTACCACTCTACCACACTGTTCTACCACTCTACCACACTGTTCTACCACTCTACCACACTGTTCTACCACTCTACCACACTGTTCTACCACTCTACCACTGTTCTACCACTCTACCACACTGTTCTACCACTCTGTTCTACCACTCTACCACACTGTTCTACCACTCTACCACACTGTTCTACCACTCTACCACACTGTTCTACCACTCTACCCCACTGTTCTACCACTCTACCACACTGTTCTACCACTCTACCCCACTGTTCTACCACTCTACCACACTGTTCTACCACTCTACCACACTGTTCTACCACTCTACCCAACTGTTCTACCACTCTACCCCACTGTTCTACCACTCTACCCCACTGCTCTACTCTACTACCCTGTTTAATAATCATTCCTCAAACTACTATCAACATTCATACGTCTGTAACTGTCCTGGTTACGTGACCTTTAGCCACTAGTAGAGAAGCAATTACCTTCAAAGTTTTTTTTTGAGATATATACAAGAGTTGTTACATGGTTGTAGAGCCACTAGTACGCGTAGCGTTTCGGGCAGGTCCCTGGAATACGATCCCCGCCGCGAAGAATCGTTGTTACAACCAAGTACACATTTTACTGTTGCGTTAAACAGAGGCTACAGTTAAGGAATTGCGCCCAGTAAATCCTCCCCGGCCAGGATACGAACCCATGACATAGCGCTCGCGGAACGCCAGGCGAGTGTCTTACCACTACACCGCGGACCTTCGACAAGCCACCGGCTTTCTGTCCTCGTCGAGACCACTAGTGTTAGTGGCTCTCAGGTAAATACATATACCCGAGCCAGAGACGACGTTCCGTTGTTTGGATAAGTCGAATTAGACGAGAGATATTTCGTAAAGGTGGTGTGGTTAAATACCAGATTACCATTATTGTCTCTCTAACTATAACTTGGGATTACTAACAATTCTCAAACCAATATATTATTTTATTAGGTCAAAGACAACTAACCAAACGCATCAAGGCAGCCAAAAATATCTTTTAACACTAAGAAGTATGGGTTATCTCTCTCTCTCTCTCTCTCTCTCTCTCTCTCTCTCTCTCTCTCTCTCTCTCTCTCTCTCTCTCTCTCTCTCTCTCTCTCTCTCTCTCTCTCTCTCTCTCTCTCTCTCTCTCTCTCTCTCTCTCTCTCTCTCTCTCTCTCTCTCTCTCTCTCTCTCTCTCTCTCTCTCTCTCTCTCTCTCTCTCTCTCTCTCTCTCTCTCTCTCTTATAAGCATATATGGTTATATTGTATCAAGTACTGGTATGCGTGTAGTTACCAGTATATCACAAATTTTAGAAGAAAAATATATGTTTATACATATAATGTAGTATATATATGTATGTATAATGATGTATATGTATATATATATGCATATATATATTTATATATATATACATAATACATATTTTTGTAATCACTACTTCCGCTTATATTAACACTGCTGATAAGCTTTATTGATGTGTATCAGTGAGATGGGTGGCTGTGGGTGGCTGTGGGTGGCTGTGGAGTGGCTGTGGAGTGGCTGTGGAGTGGCTGTGGAGTGGCTGTGGGGTGGCTGTGGGTGGCAGTGGAGTGGCTGTGGGTGGCTGTGGAGTGGCTTTGGAGTGGCTGTGGAGTGGCTGTGGGTGGCTGTGGGTGGCTGTGGGGTGGCTGTGGGTGGCTTTGGAGTGGCTGTGGAGTGGCTGTGGGGTGGCTGTGGAGTGGCTGTGGAGTGGCTGTGGAGTGGCTGTGGGTGGCTTAGCGAGTCGATGTGTATGTGTTATGTGAGAGTGGCTTGAAGTTTTGAGTACATAGTTTTGAATATACGTATATGTATATATATTTTTTGTAGCTTGTGTGTTTTGTACCTTTGTGTGTGTGTGTGTGTGTGTGTGTGTGTGTGTGTGTGTGTGTGTGTGTGTGTGTGTGTGTGTATGTGTGTATGTGTAATCACAAGAGACAGCAGTTCTTACTCTGGATCACTAATTGTCTCTGCAAGAATTTCTAGTTGGGCTGTCATTGTCCCTTCAGTCTCACCCATTTCCACCGTGGGGCCGCTAGCTGTGAACGAGATTATAGCTGTTTCTAACCCCGTGTCGTCTGCAGGGATCGTAGACACGCCATCTTGCACACTACTCCCTACCGTGATACTTTCTTCAGACGCAGTGCAGGTGTCTGAGCCTGCACTAGCCTGCCCCGTGTCCACGGGAATATCCGGTCTTGCAAATGCATTCTGCAAGCATTCAATGTCTTCTGTAGCTCCTGGTGGCTGTATCTCGTCCGCTGCAGGTGATCCGTTAGGTGGAGATGCAGTGCTTCTTCTGCCCTGAGAGGTAGTGTCCTTATCTTCGTCGCCTGGCGTCAGGGGTTCAACTCTGTGGGTGCCTGACGCCTCACAGGGTTCGCTTTCAAGGCTGTCAGATAATAGCGGCTGCAGCTCTGTTGCTGATGCTGTTGCGTTTGACGGCGCTGTGAGGCTGACGGCGCGATAGGGCGAGCTACTGCCCGAATGACTGCATGTGCTGTTGACAGCGTGACTGGGAGTGCTGTTGACAGCGTGACTGGGAGTGCTGTTGACAGCGTGACTGGGAGTGCTGTTGACAGCGTGACTGGGTGTGCTGTTGACAGCGTGACTGGGTGTGCTGTTGACAGCGTGACTGGGAGTGCTGTTGACAGCGTGACTGGGAGTGCTGTTGACAGCGTGACTGGGTGTCATATTAGTGTCCTCTGGCACTACAAGCGGGGGTATGAGGTCAAATGGGGGAGGTAATGTTGCCGGCGGAGCTGTTGACGATGAAGCAGCACTGGTGGAGGCTGTCTTGGGAGTGTTGGAGGAGCTGGGGGAGACGCCGGTTGCTGCGCTGCTGTAAACTGGCGCGGTGGTGAAGGTGGTGGTGGCGCAGGAGGGCGTCGACACCTCCGACGTGGCACCTAGCGTGCTGCAGATGGCGTTGATGGGGATGACGATGTTGGAGGTCTGCGTGGTGTTGGAGAAGAAAGCCGAGGTGACGGGAGAAGCGTTGGTGTTGGAGCCGAGGCTCAGGAGGGAGGTGGTGGTGATGTCGAAGCTGGCGGCGGAGTTGGTGGCGGGGGTGGTGGCGGTGGAGGTGGTGGTGGAGAACTTAGGGGAGGGAAGCCCCTGGGGGAATAGGGAGTCGTAGGACGGGGGGAGGTCAGCCGCCTGCCACGGGTGTGTGCGCTGGGTGTAGATTCCCTGGCCAGAGTTACACACCACACGAACCTGAAAGGTGTACAATGCTACAATGTTTACGTTAGCTATGCAAATGAGAGTAAGTTCTTCTTGGAATAAAATCAGATATTATGTTCCCCCACTCTGCTCTCCTCTCTTTACACTAGGCGCTAATCTATCCCTATCTTCTCTTTACACTAGGCGCTAATCTATCCCTATCTTACATACGCTGTCTGTGTATGGGGTTCAACCACTGCAAATTACCACAAGCCCATCATCACTCAGCAAAAATCTGCTATCAGAACTATAACAAACTACTTCCTCAGATAACTCACTCTCTCTCGCTCTCTCTCTCTCTTTCTCTTTCTCTTTCTCTTTCTCTTTCTCTTTCTTTCTTTCTCTTTCCTTCCATTCCCGCACAGTCGAGCGTACCTGAATAGCCATATGGTGGGCAGAAGAGAGGGTGGAGGAGACCTCGTAGGACTCAGCGTAGGAGTTGAGTTCCTGGGGAGGCGGGTGTTCCCTGCGTGCTGGAGTTCGGCCTCTGCGCCAGTACAACACCCCGCCCAGCACCACCACCAGCAGCAGGAACGCCCCAATCCACGGACCCACGATAACCATCACTAGTCCCCCCAACATTTCTGTCAACAGAAAACCAAAAATATTAAATCGATTCATAGAAAATGAATCAGCGAAAGGGGAGACTCAAAAGAACACGCGTTCCCTAACTAAATCCGGTAACTGTCCCCTCACTAGTCCCCCCCAACATTTCAGTCAACAGAAAACCAAAAGATAACAATATTAAACTGATTCATAGAAAATGAATCAGCGAAAGGGGATACTCAAAGGAACACGCATTCCCTAACTAAAGCCGGTAACTGTCCTCTCACTAGTCCCCCTTAATATTTGTCAACAGAAAACCAAAAATAACAATATTAAACGATTCATAGAAAATGAATCGGTGAAAGGGGAAACTCAAAAGAACACGCGCCAGTGGTTAATGCCCTCTGTGCTCACCATCATCAAGGCAGGAGAGCTCGTCGTAGTTGTGTGGCTGTCCGCAGTTGATGTGGTGATCGCACCACAGCGACTGGTGGACGCAGTGGTGCTTGCTGCGTCGGTCAGTCGTACCGCAGGAGCGGAACCCAGCGTCGCATCCACTCTCGTGGTCTGCAGGCGGCGACGCAGATGGCGACGCAGGCGGTGACGCAGATAGCGACGCATACGACCACAGAGAGGGGAATAGGAGCAGAGAGATATATTAATGCTGGTTCTTGTATTCCCACTGTCAACCTAGCTGCTTGTAGCCCTTACTGAATACAATAACTTTGTATTCCTCTTTCTTGCGTATAAATATATGTTCAGGCATGCGGTAACGCCAGTCTAAGGTCTTGTTATTTACGAAGACGGTATACCATTCATGAACAAAATAACTACCCTGAAACATAGAAGAAAGTCTATATTTAGGCCTATTGAGATCTCCCATTGGGCAACTACTGCCCTTCCTCTAAATGCAACCCACAACAGCTGTCTAACTCCCTGGTACCTATTTTACTGCTTGGTGAACTGGGAGCATCACGTGAAAGGAAACATTCTAAACCGTTTCTGTCGCCTCCCCTAGGCGTTACCTAGCAGTAAAATAGGTACCTGGGTGTTAGTCAGGTGTCACGGGCTGCTTCCTGGGGGTAGAGGCCTGGTCGAGGACCGGGCCGCGGGGACACTAAAGCCCCGAAATCATCTCAAGATAACCTCAAGATAACCTCCCCTGAGGATGGAACCCGGGCGGTGAGCCAAGGATGTTGACTTACACGAGTACCTGTAGGCGGTGACGACGAAGGTGAAGCCTCTGTGAGGGCGCCAGTGCGTGTCCCGCCAGAGGTAGTGGTTGTCCTGTTGGCCCACGGAAACCTCCACCGTCAGTTCTGTCATCTGTAAACACCGTCACCTGTCAACCCTCGTGCTTACGGCTACATCTAGGTGAGTACATGACAGAGGATCTCAAACTCTGAACTATAAGCTATTCCGGATAAGAAAAAAAAACCTTCAACATTCTCAGTGAGTAATTTACCCACGAATCAGCCTTAGATATGAGCCTCCAGTTGTTGTTGTTGTTATAGATTCAGCTACTCGGAACAAGTTCTAAGTAGCACGGGCTATGGTGAGCCCGTAACTTGCCTGGCACAGGAGCGGGGCAAGTAGCACGGGCTATGGTGAGCCTCGTGGACGGGAGATGTCTCCCGTCATGAGCCTCCAGAGAGAGAGAGAGAGAGAGAGAGAAGATTAAGCCACCCGAAAGGTGGCACGGGCATGAATAGCCCGTAAGTGGTGGCCCTTTTGAGCCATTACCAGTATCAATAGATGGTACTGGAGATCTGAGGAGGTGCGACTGCACCCTGCGTGACGGGAGATGTCTCCCGTGACCCTTTATGAGTAAATTTGTCTCGTATATACCCACCCCATGAGTACCTATAAGACTATAGGTCACTATACTCACCCCACACCTGATGACTCGGGGGTCATTGGTTAGCGGGAGGGGACAGTAGCCGACCAGTGACCTCCGATAACCCAAGTGGGTCAACTGCTCCTGTCCCGTCACGGCCCAGGACCCGCACTGCCTCTCCTGGGGCGTCCGGGTGTCCGACACCACCTGAAACGTCGCCATCTATTATCATCTGTCACAAGTAACTAGTATATATGCACACATACACACACCATCTGTCAATAGACGTGACCACCTGCAATATTGGACTTTGTGCCAGCTGCTGGACCTACATCGTCTGCAGTATTATTGCACATCATCGTCAGATTGACGATGACGTGGCTGAAGATATAATGACCATTATCAAGTTACAAGACTTGATATAATGGTCCAGGATCGACCGAAACGTCGCTGTTTCTCCATTTTCTGGCGGAAAATCATCATATATCATCATCATATAACAGCAACACTGTAAATGTATGAAATTGATGTTTGTGAACATAAAGAATGGAATATTATGAGAGGGAGGACAGTAGAAAGGAGGCGAAGAGAACAGGAGAAGCGGAGAAGGGAGGAGATGAAGAAGGGATAGTGAGGAAGTTGAATAAGAGGAAGGACCTACCATGATGTAGTCGAGGCACTCATTCTGGGCCAAGTGGTGACCTGTCGTGTCCTCGTAGCGTCTAAGGTCAACCTCTTCCAGCACTCCTGTCAGCCCAGACCCTGGAAAAGAGATACCGTAAGATTAGTCCAAGATGGCACGCCCCCAATCCCACAGCTGGTGGCCCCCAATCCCACAGCTGGTGGCCCCCAATCCCACAACTGGTGGCCCCCGATCCCACAGCTGGTGGCCCCCAATCCCACGGCTGGTGGCCCCCGATCCCACAGCTGGTGGCCCCAATCCCACAGCTGGTGATGGTGGTGGGTGTGGTGGTACAGCAAATGGTGTAGGTTATTTTGTATTCACGAGTGTTTCTCTGTTCCATTCTCCAGTTAAACCCTTCTCTGGAACACCCTTCCCTCCGCCCCCTTCCTTGTACCCCACATTCACCCTAGATATCACTACAATCCCCTCCTCTCTCCTCCCCCCTCTCCCTCCAATATTGTCAGTGATGTAACTATTACCAACGTGTCAGCAGGAGCGGCCTGGGACACATTAATATTTTTAAAGCCGACCTCTCCACGCTGGAGATGGCAACACTGCTCCCTCTGTTTCTGACATTTCGTTGTTGTTCTCTGAGCAGCTCCCACGACCCGAGTGGGGTCCAAGACCTGAGGAGAGTGTGTAATCCCTCTACGACGTCGCTAGTCTAGAAACAAACCTAATCCAACCTAATCTATCCCAAAGCTGACCCAATCTAACCTAACGCAAATAAAAGATGAAATGGGTTTTATATCTGGCGTGCATGACGTTGTATCAGGTCACTGCGACGTCATAATGAGCATGCCGGTACAGGTTTTAGACCCTACTCGAGTCGGAGGTCGTACACCACGGAGGACAAGGGCGCGTTTTTGGCGCCTTTTTTTACAGGTGGTGAAGTTTGGGAAACATTGGTGAGGAGGCGTGGTGGTTGGGGCGACAAGCCTGGGAGGGGGGGGGGAGGGGCGGTGGGAAGAGTGGAATGGTGCGTTATAGCTTGATGTGCTCTAGAAGGGAGGGAAGGAAACTATCAGGGGAAAGGGCCAAGTCATTACGACTATATAGCACTTGGAAGGGGTTCAGGAAAAAGATTTGGGATGGGACGAGGGGGAGGGGATTGAACGCCGACCTGCATGAAGGAAGACCGTCGCTCTACCGTCCAGCCCAAGTGGTTGGGCGCTCTGGAAAGGAGAGGAACCAGCTTGTAAGTGTGTGTGTGTGTGTGTGTGTGTACTTACGTAATTGTGCTTGAGGGGGTTGAGCTCTGGCTCTTTGGTCTTTGTGTGTGTGCGTGTGTGCGCGTGTACGTGTGTGTGTGTGTGTGTGCGTGTGCGTGTGCGTGTTTCAGAGCAGTGTGCCCTGACGCCACCACCAAGAGTCTCCAACAATCGCCTCAAGTGCCTCCCAAGAGACTGCCAAGGCAAAGGTCACATCTGAGAGGTGTACGCATTAGCCACGAGAGCCAGGTGCACACACACACACACACACACACACACACCAGCTCCGCAAACACGCACTCAACAGCGCTACAATGCGTGCATAATACGAAAAGCCTAATAACGTCCTATAAAAATGCGTCAAATGCACCAAGAACGCATAAAATATCGACCTTTCCTGACCTCTGGAGGCACAGGTCATCCGGAATATTATAGAAACTGGGAAAAATGTGTCGACTCAAATCTCACTTCTTTTCCGACCTTAGAGTTACAGTTTATAAGATGCCTTTAATCTTACAGTCATGATTCTTCATCCAAAAGATCTTGAAATGGGTAGGGAAGGACAGGAGTATGTGGACAAGGAGCTGGGATATGAGGCCAAGGAGCTGGGATATGAAGCCAAGGAGCTGGGATATGAGGCCAAGGAGCTGGGATATGAGGTCAAGGAGCTGGGATATGAGGACAAGGAGCTGGGATATGAGGACAGGGAGCTGGGATATGAGGTCAAGGAGCTGGGATATGAGGACAAGGAGCTGGGATATGAGGACAAGGAGCTGGGATGTGAGGACAAGGAGCTGGGATGTGAGGACAAGGAGCTGGGATGTGAGGACAAGGAGCTGGGATATGAGGCCAAGGAGCTGGGATGTGAGGTCAAGGAGCTGGGATATGAGGCCAAGGAGCTGGGATATGAGGACAAGGAGCTGGGATATGAGGCCAAGGAGCTGGGATGTGAAGACAAGGAGCTGGGATATGAGGACAAGGAGCTGGGATGTGAGGACAAGGAGCTGGGATATGAGGACAAGGAGCTGGGATATGAGGCCAAGGAGCTGGGATATGAGGCCAAGGAGCTGGGATATGAGGCCAAGGAGCTGGGATATGAGGCCAAGGAGCTGGGATATGAGGACAAGGAGCTGGGATATGAGGCCAAGGAGCTGGGATATGAGGCCAAGGAGCTGGGATATGAGGCCAAGGAGCTGGGATATGAGGCCAAGGAGCTGGGATATGAGGCCAAGGAGCTGGGATATGAGGCCAAGGAGCTGGGATATGAGGCCAAGGAGCTGGGATATGAGGCCAAGGAGCTGGGATATGAGGACAAGGAGCTGGGATATGAGGCCAAGGAGCTGGGATATGAGGCCAAGGAGCTGGGATATGAGGACAAGAAGGCTAGGATATGAGGACAAGGAGCTGGGATATGAGGCCAAGGCGCTGGGATATGAGGCCAAGGCGCTGGGATATGAGGCCAAGAAGGCTAGGATATGAGGACAAGGAGCTGGGATATGAGGACGGAGTGAAGGAACAATGCCCAACCACTTGGACCATTGGGGATCGAACGCCGACCCTGCAAGGAGCGAAACCTCACTGTACCAACGATACCAAGTAACTGCATGAACGAAACGACTGAATACAAGCCTATTGTATCCAGTCAGGCCTATTGTATCCAGTCAGGCCTATTGTATCCAGTCAGGCCTATTGTATCCAGTCAGGCCTATTGTATCCAGTCAGGCCTATTGTATCCAGTCAGGCCTATTGTATCCAGTCAGGCCTATTGTATCCAGTCAGGCCTATTGTATCCAGTCAGGCCTATTGTATCCAGTCAGGCCTATTGTATCCAGTCAGGCCTATTGTATCCAGTCAGGCCTATTGTATCCAGTCAGGCCTATTGTATCCAGTCAGGCCTATTGTATCCAGTCAGGCCTATTGTATCCAGTCAGGCCTATTGTATCCAGTCAGGCCTATTGTATCCAGTCAGGCCTATTGTATCCAGTCAGGCCTATTGTATCCAGTCAGGCCTATTGTATCCAGTCAGGCCTATTGTATCCAGTCAGGCCTATTGTATCCAGTCAGGCCTATTGTATCCAGTTAGGCCTATTGTATCCAGTCAGGCCTATTGTATCCAGTCAGGCCTATTGTATCCAGTTAGGCCTATTGTATCCAGTCAGGCCTATTGTATCCAGTCAGGCCTATTGTATCCAGTCAGGCCTATTGTATCCAGTTAGGCCTATTGTATCCAGTCAGGCCTATTGTATCCAGTTAGGCCTATTGTATCCAGTCAGGCCTATTGTATCCAGTCAGGCCTATTGTATCCAGTTAGGCCTATTGTATCCAGTTAGGCCTATTGTATCCAGTCAGGCCTATTGTATCCAGTCAGGCCTATTGTATCCAGTCAGGCCTATTGTATCCAGTCAGGCCTATTGTATCCAGTTAGGCCTATTGTATCCAGTTAGGCCTATTGTATCCAGTTAGGCCTATTGTATCCAGTTAGGCCTATTGTATCCAGTCAGGCCTATTGTATCCAGTTAGGCCTATTGTATCCAGTTAGGCCTATTGTATCCAGTTAGGCCTATTGTATACACTTTTTAGCTCTATAAAAAAACAGAAAAAAAGTGAATCAGCCGAAATTGTTGAGATAAAAAGCTAATTAATAAATATTAAATACAATCATAGATTAAACGAGGCAATTAGATAGTTAACTTCCGCTGTTACTGGATCTTGAAGATATCGACGGCTCCTTGAGACGGGTAATATCGATCTAGAAAGATCGTTACAGACAGAAAATAATTATATGTGCTTTATAATCACTCAATGGGCCTGTCGGCTGAGTAGACAGCGCTCTGTATTCGTAGTCATAAGGTTCCGGGTTCGATCCCTGACAGAGACAGAAAAAAATGGGTAGGGTTTCTTTCGGCGTGATGCCCCTGTTCACCTAGCAGTAAATAGGTACCTGGGAGTTAGACAGCTGCTACGGAGCTGTTACAATCCGCCAGTTAACAATCTGGCGGAGGGGCGTGGGGGACATGGGGGCCAGATTCACGAAGCAGTTACGCAAGCACTTACGAACCTGTCCATCTTATCTCCATCTTTGGTGGCTTTGTTTACAATTATTAAACAGTTAATGAGCTCCGAAGCACCAGGAGGCTGTTTATAACAATAACAACAGTTGATTGGTCAAGTTTTCACGCTTGTAAACTGTTTAATAAATGTAACCAAAGCCGTCAAAGATTGAGGAAAGATGTACACGTTCGTAAGTGCTTGCGTAACTGCTTCGTGAATCTGGCCCCAGGTTCGTAAGCGCTTGCGTAACTGCTTCGTGAATCTTGGCCCAGGTTCGTAAGCACTTGCGTAACTGCTTCGTGAACGTGGCCCCAGGTTCGTAAGCACTTGCGTAAATGCTTCGTGAATCTGGCCCCAGGTTCGTAAGCACTTGCGTAACTGCTTCGTGAATCTGGCCCTAGGTTCGTAAGCACTTGCGTAACTGCTTCGTGAATCTGGCCTAATGTTTGATAAACCCTCGTCAAGTCTATAACGGTGGAATGGTTTAGAACCTCCGGGTTTTCGACAAGAGGAACAACCCGGGGCCTCGTAGCCTGGTGGATAGCGCGCAGGACTCGTAATTCTGTGGCGCGGGTTCGATTCCCGCACGAAGCAGAAACAAATGGGCAAAGTTTCTTTCACCCTGAATGCCCCTGTTACCTAGCAGTAAATAGGTACCTGGGTGTTAGTCAGCTGTCACGGGCTGCTTCCTGGGGGTGGAGGCCTGGTCGAGGACCGGGCCGCGGGGACACTAAAAAGCCCCGAAATCATCTCAAGATAACCTCAAGATAACCCAATTTATGCTACACAGAATACAGGAAAGGTTACAGCAACTTACAGGTGTGTTTGGGAGCCTTGAAGGTGATCTGGCAATGCAATGGTGCAAAATCGTAGAAGTCTTTAGCTGTCAGGCGGAGGATTGCGGCCGACTTGGCCCCATCTTCCAGCCAGATGGTCTCGTTACATACGCCAGCCGAGTCCACCGTCGCTGCAGTAGTAGGAGTTTTAGATTCAGCTACTCAGAACAAAAGTTCCAAGTAGCACGGGCTATGGTGAGCCCGTAGTGGACTTACCTGGCACAGGAGCAGGGCTGTCCGTCGCTGCAACGTCATGTACTCAACAATTTGCAATATTGTCGATTGGTATAGACATTAAAGTGTCGTAAATGTGATATTTCATTAGAAGGTAAAATCCACATGCGACATCGC